TCTTCTAATTTTTGACCTTAACAAACCCCAAACATGACCCTCTTCCGAAAATATGAAATTCGTAGAGAACGGCTGCACGCACGGTTTGCCCTGGGTATGGGTTACATTGCATGGGTATAGAGAAGCGCATAGTGAGTAATTTGGGATTTAGCCGACTTTTTTCACAAGAACGCTGAGTATCAGCAAAACCTTGGCTCCAGTCGGGATTTGAACTCGCATATCTTGCTCGTCAGACAATTGTTCTACCTTGCTATTTGCTGACTGTGACTGTTTGAACGCATAATTGGGAAAGAGAAAAAGAAATAAAATTAATAATTGGCACTTTGATTAAATTCATTCTGGTGAGTTCTCCGAAAATTGCCCGGTTTAGTTTTTCTGGGTTGTTTCATTTTCGTGAAATCGTCTCTTATTTCCAAACCCAGCTAATTTTTTTGGAAAAGTTAGAACATTTCTTCTCAAGTTCATTTGAAGAACGGGATTTGTAAATGAGAGGCCGTAGTGAACCATCGTGAACAACTTCTAGCGGTCCAACATTTTTAGGGGCGCAATGTTCTTTGGTATGAATTGCTACGAATATCTCGCAGCAAACTTTATCTGTTCTCAATTAAATTATGGCACAATATTCACAATATTTGTTTACCATTTGTTTATTGTTTTATTTTTTATTGTTGATGAAGTTGTTTTGATACTTTTCTGCTACTTGGCTCAGAATGGACTAAACTATAATTCTGATATGATTCCGTTACGGTTTCTATTCTACAGGGTAGCGCGTCGCTAGAGCGCCGCATTACAGTTACGCAACCTTTAGATTCGATTCCTGCTTGCGGAAGCTTAGCCGTTGATCTTTCTGCAATCTATTAGTTTGTATGAAGAAGACAAGTCAGGTTTTCAAAAAGCCAATTAAAATTTTTCATGTGCATTCAAATATTTTGACACTGAAGGGTAGAAGTAAAGGAATAGTTTGATTGTTTTACTTACAGGGTTCCCCTCTCCAAGATAGGGTACTAATTTAAAGGCAAGAATCAGGATTAAATTGATGGGGTGATTCCACTCAAATGTGAAAGTAGGGGTGGAGGTGGACCGCCAGTGGAGAAAAAAGGAAGAAAATCGTGAAATACACAGGAAATACGAGCCTTTTGCTCTACGCTGCGGAGAAGTTCAAAAGGCCGGCAGGGAGATGAGAGATAATGTGAGCGCGGAGAGCGGTAGAGAAGTCCGAGAAGAGAGAGCATAGCAGATCAACGCGACGCAGACAAGATATCGAACGGTGGGCGGACCATGTTAAGTTTGGTGGAGTCTGTTAGAAGTCCATGGCGCCTAGGGTCCTAGTGACGCGTTTCGATGTAGAAAGGTGGCGCTACCTTTGCACTTGCGTACCCAGCACTTCTAGCCATGGTAAGGGCTTCTTAGGTGGGTCTGAGCCCGAACTTTGCCTTTAAGCAGCATATGCTGCAAAGATTCAGTTCCATTACTATACCCTTCCAAACGCATCTACTCTTTCAAATGAGAGCGGTATTCATGGCGCATCGCAAAGGACCAGACTAGAGCCGACCCGATTCTAACTTCATAGCCCGGAGCGCGCTCGGCTAATCGAGAGTTCATCTTTGCCATACCGTGATTCCTTTGCTCAACACAAAGGTTAGTATGGCCGGGTTTACTGTAAAACCGCCTCTTGCGTAGAAAAAGAGACCGTGTTATATAGAAAAGCGCAATTTTCGGAACCGTAGGAATATGTAATTGCAAGGAATTGATAGGTACTTAGCGTTTCCCCCGTGAAAACGCCCCACGTGACCAGCAACGACCAGTGAGCGCGAATCGTCGTCGTGGGACGTTCTCTGCACTCTTTTCTTTCTGCCACTGCGGCGCTTTCCCCGTTTTCTTTCATCAATTCCTCTTTTCAGGTGTTGTTCTCTATGTTGACGCATGATATCGTTCCGATTTCTAAATTTGAAATGCGATCCAAACTAAACGTCAAAAGTTTATCTAAACTCGCTCCCGTCCGTGTTCGTTCACATTCCCGGCGTTTCCTGTCCGTCCCGATAGTTGTGATTGATCTCTAGCACTTTCAGTCCAGATGTTCAACACGCTGGCGTCGCTCGATCACGCAGACGTTTTCGGCGATGTGGCGTCGACGGCGCTGGACGAACTGATTCGGAATTCGGCCGCTGCCGCGGACATAGCAGTGCACACAGCAATCTGTCTGCAGCTTTACAACCGATGGCTGGTGGTCTCAACAATTCCCAATTTAATCAGTCGAGCAGCCTTGCCAACTCTCAAGATGGGCCGAGTCGAGGCCGAAAGAAAAACTCGACTGTCAACCTGGTGTGTGTCGTTTGTGGCGATCAGGTGAGCGCTTTTTCCACCTGCATTTATTGATGTGTCGAGAATTCTTCGATAACTACTCTTACCACGAATTTGAATTCTCGTTTTGTTACAAATTGAAATGGTTCAAGATTGAAGAGGTGATGCTCTGGCGAAAAGCGCCATTGGTATTTGCACGGTTCCTGGCTCACTTCTCAGCTAGACCGAAAAAACCCATCTATCCCTCCACGACATGATATTTGTATCTGAATTACCTGAACGTGAACACTCGACAATGTCTGCATAAAATACGCATCCAAAATGCCCTCCACGAAATTTCGAGAGAATGGCGAACCATGGCGCAATAGATTAATTGGCCCGACTTGCAAATTTGATACTATTTTGATATTTTTACTGTGATTCAGAATTAGAACACTGAAGTCGAAACGCAATACTAATAGGAAAGGATGGGACTTTTAGGAAAACAGCACAGAAGGCACAGCGGGGGACAAGGTCAACCGTCATGTTGAACCAATTTCGAAAATTTTACGACCCCCTCCCCCTCTGGAGGGCCTCGATACGACCCCCCTCCAGGGCCAATTCCTCACGACCATCCCCCACCACCCTCGCCTGCCAGGGGGCGATTCTATAGTATTTGATTCTGAGTCACTCGACACAGTCAACTCCGCACACTCCGCATTTCCTTCAAACATTACCCATCCGAGCGGAGGGTATATATGGAACGTGAAATCTTACAAGAACCCACTATCCTTTTCATAAAAACAGCACTTTCTTTACTGTACATTGACGCTACCTCGCGAAATACGACCCCCCTTTCCACCCCCACAACGGACTGTTGACCCCGCGGGAATGAGAAAGGGTCCACGGGGCAAAATTGCGATTTCATTAGTACCAAACGCTTCCACCAAGCTAACGGCAAGTATCTTTCTTTTATAACTTTCAAGCGAGCCTCAGAAGAAGATGATCGGGATGCATAGCATTTCCGTTTTCTCGTTTCCTCCTCCAAATATCTTCAGAAAATCTCGTCCCCTTTCCTCATAGTGCTTTCGGCACGATTCAGTACAAAAATCCACACAGACAATAACCAAAAAACCAAAAGAAAGGAAACTAATTAGCGTTCCCGGTATCACACGAAAACTGGAGTGAAATGTTACATATCAAAGAACCACACTTATAATATCCTTCACCCCTCTATCACCCTTATCCTCTTGATCCTCTTCATCTCTCACTTTCACACGTTCTTCACAATCCCACACTCCCTGCTCCCCATAACCGTGCGTCCACTCTCCCACTTGAGACCAAAACCTTGTTCTGTATAATTTAAAAAACCATCTGTAACACAAAGTCTTCTTTCGGCTGCTATCTAAACCGCTGTTCAGGCAGATTTTCCACTGCTCTTCTGCATTGTCCTATACGTATAATCATAGCTTACAGTTTAAACAGTATTGAGCCGCTGAAATCGATACAGTTTCGTGACTTTCACACGACCTGTGCGCCCGCATGCACCCCCCGCCCTTGCCCCCCGTTTAGGGTGCGATTCTAGAGGAATTTGTGTAACCCCTTGGTGGAGAAAGAAAGGTGGCGGCAACACTTCTTGCAGTTCGGAAAACTTTTTTTGCATAGGATTGTTAATCAACACTCGGGTCTGCTCCCTTTCGGAAAATTCCCTTCTACTGCCTTACAATTGCCTCCTTACACCATATAATATCAAAAGCCGTGCACAGTGCACCAAACATGGGATTTCACTTCCCTTCTGGGGTCAGGTTAACAGAGTTGTGCGATTATTGAAAACTGAGGTTCCTTGGATTTAGGCTTAGGTTGAGGCTTATGCCTGCACAGTGGCTCATGCTTAAGCATACGATAAGGCCTAGGCACAGTTTTAAGCTTGCTCTACTAAATGATTGATGTTTCAATTAGGTGATCTTACTTGAGGAGGAGAAGCTGGAACGCACCCCCACCCCCCTCCAAAGCCTAAATTAATGAAGAGCGCCTAAAAAAATCCATTTTTTCTGTACAAATGTACATAGACATAGATCAGTAAATCATTCAAATTCCATGGTCCTCAACGAATCTCGTTTCCATTAGGGTCATCATGGTGCGGTGACCCAAAAAGCTACGGTAACTCTGAGCCAGGGGGAGTGTAGCCAGCCTAGGGGGTGGGGGTGAGGGCAGTCACTTGACATGCGTGAGAAGCTGGAATGTTCGAGTTTACATTAGCTCGCCGAGAAACTGCATCATGATGCCCCCCCCTAACTGGAATAGACCCCGAATCTCGGTGGCATGACGTGTTTTATAAAAATGGAACAATTCATCGTCAGCAAATTTATCCTCTTTACTTTGATTCGGCATAAGAATCTTTTTTCTTCAACATGAGCGCATATAAATTGCGGATTGTGTGCAGTTAATGTTTTGATTGTGCTAATGCCATTAGCAATACAATGAAATGCTTTTATCTGTTCCACCGTCCTAATTGACTTTTAATTCGTAATAACTTGAAATGATGGCTGGCCTTGCATTTCCGTCAGACACCTTGCAGACATTTCTGTGGCGAGGGACTGTCGTAATTACAAACCTAGCAACCTATTCGGCGTTAAACACATAAAGGATAAATAAAGGATAAAGCATTTGCCGTTGATCAATCCCTTTTTGGGATGCGGCACGCATTCTACTTCCATTTGTACATTCGCAGTGGCGTTTGAATGCGATGTGGCCTATACAATGACTTGCGGGGGCCAGCCGATGTACAAGTCAGTGTTTTTATCCTCCCAGACAAGTCTGGTACCAATTAACCGACCCCGGAGGGATGGAAGGCTTGGTTGGCCCGGGCGACTCACGACCCAGGATTTGATCCCCGGACCGCTCGCGTGGTAAGCGTGCCACTTGCCACTACACCACTTCCGCCCATAATTGATTTTTCAAGGCCGTCATTACCTGAGTGACTGAGTCTGCAATCACGACATGAACGGCCACGGAACAAAGCAAAAGTAAAAATGCATCTCTCAAGAGGTCACATTGAATTGAATCGATCATTAGAAAATCGTGTATAGTGAAAATGGGATCTATCTCAAAGGGGGGGGTAGGAGCATGTGGTGTGATAATTCGTGTCACTTGTGATGGTTCCGCTTCTTGCAGGCGGAGGAATTCCCTCAAATGGCGTGAACCTTTCCGTCTCCACTTTTACACTACACCCACAACGGAGCTTCTTTTTCCTGCTGAAATTTGGTATTACTGTCGATAAAGTGTTGCATTCCATATCCTTTTTACTTTATAGACCCGATAATATTCATGGACCCATTGGGAGGATATGTTAACTACAGCAGTTGTAAAACTTATAATGAATGACTGTGTCTATCAATTCTTTTTTGAGATGCGCCATGCATTTGACCAAACTGAGAATCGTAACGGTTTGTTGGATGCGTGGTCCTTTATTTTTTCATTGCTTTTTTGTTATATTTATTCTATGCCTTCCACACAATATGATGTTGGCCAGTTGATGTGAAAGTCAGTGTTTTTCTCCTTCCAAACAAATCTGCCACCAACAAACCAACTTTAGAGGAAAATAGGACTTAGTTAACAAAAGCTGAAGTCTTTGCTATCGTCGAGAAGTAGCGTCGTACTGAGGGAAATTTTCAGCCAGAGCCAGTTCCCTCTCAACAGCTCCCTTATCCCTTCTCCGCTGGCTGGGTCTCAACCCCGACCTTCTTTCCCAAATTTACCAAAAAGGGCACAGCAGGAAACTTCTGAAGCCTTCTGAAATTGTCGTACTCCCTATCACAAGAATGCTGAGCTTGTGGGCAAAACTTTCGCTCCAGCCGGGATTCGTACCCAGATCTCTTGCTTTCCGGGCAGCTGTGCTCCCAGTTACCAGTTACAGTTCAAAATCGTGCTCACTTTTTTAGTCTTCTTCCCACCTCTTCCAAAAATGTGCTGCCGATTTTAGCAACTACGACCTCTCCAATCTCGGAGAAAACACGACCTCCATGCCTTTCCCAAGAAATCAACCATACATATATCACCGAAACTACTTGGTATTTCGAGATTTGCACGGATCAAACACTCCTATCGTTTCAGGCCTTCGGCAAGCACTATGGCGTGAATGCGTGCAACGGCTGCAAAGGATTTTTTAGGAGAAGGTTTGTGTCGAATTTTCTTCTTCGCTACAATTCGTTTATTACTCAATTTTCCAAAGCAGGAAGACCAATCTTACCGAGTACAACAGTTTGTGCATCGTTTTGTTCAGGTCGCGCGCCGCGCACACGAAAAAATCGATTTCAAGGCGCACATGCTCATGTAGGAGGGGGTGCATAACGCCGAGACGCGCTGCGCTGGTCTTCGTCGCACGCCGTGCTTTTTTAACTATTATTCGCGTGATACTGGCAAGACAAAATTGGGCGGAACGGTTTTTTTTTCAGACTGGTATCTACCAGGGTGAATAACGGTCGAGGAATTCCTCGACCATGGCTTTGTTCTTTGCGAGAGTAGTGCCGAGAGTGAACGTACGCACGAGAGCACCAAACGCTCAGCGCATGGCGAGTTGTGAATAGCACGGAGAGAGCGTACAGGATCAGGGCAAAATCCTTGACATGGCATGATGTAGGAATCCTTGAGCGATATTTACCTCTGTACCCTGCGTCAGCGGCTTATTTCTTGAAACAACGCTTCCACAACCTTCACCACAAAACATCGTCACATCCTAAATATTTGGTAATTTAAACATTTGCATCGCCAAGCATACGGCGTCAAAGCAGTCGTTAACAAACGAAATCGTAGCAGACCTTTTTTCTCCCCCAATCCCCGTCGTCATTAGCCCAAGCGTGCCATCTTTGGTTTACCCATTTGTGGCCGCTCTGTGAGAGCGCTATGCGGCCCTGCCAGTTGATGCAGTTGTTGACGGTCGCAACAAAGGGATTTCGCTAAGGTAAAAGACGACGGAGAAAAGTGAGACAGAGCGCCCAATCAAATGGTGCGATAGTATGACCCCCGCTCCTCTAATGGTATTATTTTTTACTTCCCCCTCTCCCATGGTCACTAAGCCTCTTCTTCTGCTGGACGGTGTCAATAGGTCTTCGGACCAACTCCAATCTGACACACCTCCATTTTCCCTCCTCGAATTTCCTCCAGGACTGCTGTTGACAGTTGGGGTGATGAGAGGAAAAGATGGACTTACTCGAGGTGCATGAATTTGTCAGAAAACTGTTTGCTTTTCGAGAAATTTTTACAAAATTTTTCCGAGCTCTCGGACCCCCCGATGGCGAAGTTGGCTCAATTGGACAAAGGCAAATGATTGCGGGCAACTAATAGGGTGATAGATAGTAGATAGCTTCCAGGCGTAATCCTGGCGTTAGGTCGATCTCAAAAATTTTACGATCCCTTCCTTCTCTTAGGGGGAGGGGTTCTTGAACCTTCCGCACCCCATATGCGCTTGAGAAGGTTCAAAATAACTTTACTCGAAACTGCTTATTCGTATCGGTGGTTTTTTGTACTCCAAAATACCAAAAGCAGCTATTAGGAATCAGTATCTGGGACTGACATCTTTAGAAGTGAGGCGTAGAGTTTTCGACCTCTGTTTGGTTCATAAACTGGTACAGGACGCGTCCGGTAACGGTCGGTTCCTCCGATGTATCAAGCTGACATCTTCGAGAACTAGGGGAAGCTCCATGAAGATATCGTTGAAGCGCCCTAAAACTAATTCTAAGGGCAAGAAACTTCGCCTTCAGGGCTGGTAGACTATACTATGAAGTTATCGAAGAAGGTACCATCACTTTATCGTTGGCGCAGTTCAAACGCCATGTTGTTAAATTGCTGCTGAGCAAAGGCAGATCCTGATGTTCTCAGAGACTGATTAACAGCTAACTCATGATTTATATTATTTTTGTTTGGTTGTGTGCAGGTTTTTGTTTGATAGTTCACATCACGTTGTTGTTACTTTCTCACGTTTGCCTTTCGCAGGCCGTAATAAACATAAACATAAACAGTCAGCACCTGCGGATCCCTCCTTTATAGCCTCCCACCTCACCAACCGAATGAAGCCTCCCATCAAATGACTGTTACTTGAATTTGACTCGAGGACCCGCAACGATCCGACCACCACTTCATCTAACCTACCCTACCAATTCGAGGGACGTGGACGATGGACGGGGTTGGCCTCAATTGTTCCAGCCAAAGTCCCTCCAAACGTGACTCACCATAGTTCTGATCCCATATTTCACGCTTTCTTCTTGCAGTACAATTCGAAAGGTTCTCCGCTGTTACCACCCGAATATGGCGATGCTAATATTATGAGCACGTTCGCATTCTGCTGCGACAGGAGAGAACAGGAGCACGAGTTCTTGTATGTTCAGTGTTTTGGCAACAATCGTCCCGTATATTTATGCGATTTGATGGCCCAATTCTATCGCAAAAGGACGTAGTTTTTCTCCGCATTGGTCGTGTGGGTGCACTCTGTACTGAAAAATATTACACCGCCTAGCATTTTCCCCTGCCAATGGAACGATGCCAAGATGTCGAAGAAAAATTGGGTTCGACCGCTATGTGTCGAAACAAATTCGTCGAGTATGAAAGATCGGCTTACACTGACTAAAAAATTCTCTGTTGGTCGAGTTCGCTAGTCAGCAAACGTACCATATTTTTGTTTTTGTCGTGGGGGACAGAGTTTTCAACTGCGGTGATCTCAGGTCCAGCCCGCTGAACTGTGAGTAGATCTGGGATCCCGCAGCGAAAATTTCGCCTTTGTCCTAGCGACTCGTACTCAGTCCTGGAAACACGCCAGACGGGATTCGCGTGACACCCGAAATCACCACACCATACTGCAGGCGCTAGTCAACACCTGTAATTTGTGTGCTGGCGTGGTGTGATGATCTCACACTTTTTTGGCTTGTTCAATTCCTTTCGCAATCTCTTTATCAACTTTAGTTTCGACTAGGCTTTGAATGGTGTTGCGCATTTTGTTTGCATACCACGCTGTGACAGGCAACATTCATGCTAACCAGGCGAAATTGCGAGGAGTGGTTCACCCGTCCGGAACCTTCCCTTCTTCTAGGCTTGAGCAAAATCTCTAACGCTTGGCTTGCCACAGGCTTTTGCACCAAAACAACCCCTTCGCAAAAAATGATAAAAAGAAAAAGCAAAGAGAACCGTCGACGAGGATCAAAGCAAATATTCCACTTGAAAAGGGAAGGCGGGCGCCGTCACGAGTTGTACGAACTTGCATGTTCACTTGCCCGCGTGTGTTTGAGTTAGTCTCTAGGCCGTAATCCACGTTGCGTGCATTGGGTTGTGCGCTACACAACTCCGTCAAATCTTTTTAGCCGCCAAATGATGGATTGATATATTCGTATAATTTCAGAACATCGAAATGTCTGCCGTGCATGTCGATTAAAACAATGCTTTGTGGCCGGAATGAATCCGAGAGGTAAGCTATGACTCTTGTACAGCGCCTACAGCAGGCCATTGCTCCTCTTTAAACTCAACATTTCCTTCTCTGAAAACAACGCTAAGCGCACCGCAACACGGCTGCGAACGGCGTACCCCATAACCAACCCACAGACCACCACTACGTCCCTGCTCAACTCAGTTAGTTCAGTTGATTTCTGTCCGCTTAACTAGAAGGGGAAATGTCGTCATATAGAGGATCAACTTGAATGGCGCCTTCGCAGCCAGTTTATGTCATTTCTTTCAAAAATTTTGTATTATCTCTTGCCGGACTAGCTCCAGTCCCTTGACTTGAGGGCGGAAGTGGTGTAGTGGCAAGTGGCACGCTCACCACGCGAGCGGTCCGGGATCAAATCCTGGGTCGTGAGTCGCCCGGGCCAACCAAGCCTTCCATCCCTCCGGGGTCGGTTAATTGGTACCAGACTTGTCTGGGAGGATAAAAAACACTGACTTAACATCGGCTGGCCCCGCAAGTCATTGTATAGGCCACATCGCATTCAAACGCCACTACGAATGTACAAATGGAAGTAGAATGCGTGCCGCATCCCAAAAAGGGATTGATCAACGGCAAATGCTTTATCCTTTATCCTTTTATCAGCACACTTGAAATTAGATAAGTCCAGTTAGCACATGTGATATCGCTTATTTTTCGCCACTGCTACCCGTTTCCCTATCCTGAACTATGATTGAATACTTCGCATAAACTAGAGGAGCTCTATTAAATCTATTCGCTATCCTACTGTTTGATTACTATTCGAACTTAGCGCTGATCTATTTTCAGCGGTACAATCAGAACGAGAGCGGAGTGATCCGTTACAAGATATGGACGATGGTGACGACGACTATAGAGAAAATTCCCCAGACAGGTAATTCAATTTATCCATAGTCCGCTTCCGTCACACGTGGCTGGCTCAGCTGTCGCCAAAGCGTGTGCATCATTCTAAATATGTCAAGAATGCATCACAAGTGATGATGGACTGGGGTTTTTCATGCACAACTTGGATACCGTTTGCTGCTGGCTCTACTCGCGTCGCAAAGGTCCCATACTTCGCAATCGCTTTGCTCGACTTTGAAGTAGATACCCTCCCTTGAACGAAGAATAGAGTCGGTGAATTAGTGGATTACAAAGTCCGGTGAGTGACCGCAACCGTAACACGTGACTGGTTGGCGCGCAACGTCACGTGTCATCGATTAGAATTCGACGTGCCCTTTTGTCGTTTTTCCGCGCACTCTACGGCGACAGAATGGGCGTGATAGAACCTGGCTCTTGTACGGAGCGTCCATGCTGGTATATAGGAGGACTATGGCAGTTGGTCGAATGTGCCGGCAAGTGGTTTAGCCGGCACCCCGGGGCTAACCTCCCTTGCCCTGCGCGCGAAGCGCGCGCAGCCGCTTGCGCGTGTATTCTTTTGGATATAGTCGCCCAAGGGCGGCTGTGGTGGAGGGGGTATTGTGCACTCACCAGCGAGGCGCTATACCCTCTCACGTTGGTGCTGAAACGTGTGGGTACACATCAGTAGTGTAGCTGCGCGCTCCAGTGCCAACGTGGATTACGGTAGCGGTCACTCACCGGACTGTTAAATCCGGCTTGTCGGGTGAAGACCATACACCAACATGTGACGACGGCGGGTGTGGTTCACTAGGACAGAAAGCGACTTTTTCGCGTTTCGCAGCGCGAAACATTGTTCGCTGCGGGACCTCGGGTCCACTGATTTTTCGCTGCGGGAACCTCGGGTCCACTGATGATCAGCGGTGGACCTGAGGTTCCCGCAGCGAAAAATGTTCCGCGCTGCGAAACGCGAAAAAGTCGCTTTCTGTCCTAGTGAACCACACCCGACGACGGCCTCCAAGTAAATCTATGGCCGGGTGCAGCACAGTCCCGGCGAAGGGGTTAACGCAGTTGGGAATCCATTTCTTCGCCGAAGCTTGCTGCATCCGGCCCCTGGTGTAGTGGTTCATAGTTGTAGCTGATTTTTGTTAATCGATAGTTGTAATAAGTGACAACTTATAGAATACAACTGCAACAGGCTAATCATTTCAATGGCTGAAAACATTTACATTTTGTGAAGGACTTCTTCATTTGGCACCCGATTCTCTCCCCGTTTTTTGAAAAGGAGGGATATGTGTTGCTCATGCGATTGCGAGATCCACACTTGAACTGCAGATAAAGTCCAAGACTGTCACAAGCATGACGGTGTTCTAATACCATGATGAGGATGAATGCGGTCTGCCCTCGCCACCTCTGCTTGTTCCTTGCTAAACTGAGACATCATGACACCACGCCGTACAATCCTCTCCGCTTCCTCCGCTCCCCCCCCCCCGGAGAGAAGAAGAAAATCCCTTCGGATTTGTTAGTTTTCCAAATAAACTCACTTCAGTTCCTTTATTTGCTTTTGTTACATTTTTATTCCTAAATACACACATGTCTTACAGGTGGGCCTTTTCCTTGGGCAAGTATTTTCGAAAAACAGATTGAATTCAGATTTTTCTTTCACCCGAAGGGTAGGTGGTGGTATGCAGCACAGGTAACCCCAATCACCATTGATCGTAAAATTTACAGTTGATTACCTCCACGGAACTCTATGGGCAGAATGCGCTATTTTCTGTCAGGCAGCGTTCGTAGCTAACGTCGTGGGAGATTCGACGATTCGTTATTCAGTTGTTCTTCCGATCGACACGTATCCATTCCTTTTAAAAGAAATACCCATTCTTCGGATCTTGGGATGTGAGCCCCTTTCAACCGCGCGAATATTCATGCCCTGAGGCACCCACCCACATCCAGCAATAACTAAGGTTTCAGTCATAGTGACCACCGACCTCAATCAGTGTGCTCAACTATAACTGAAACCTTTCTTTCTCCATCACTTCGTCTTGGGGTGCTGTAAACTTTTCTATTCCGTTTTACAGCTCATATGTTCACGTGATTAGCTTGTAAACATAAAATGGATTCCGTTTCCAACGGTTTAGCGTTCCATTCCGACCCTTTTTTGATATGCGGTTCTTATGGTTATGGTTCCCTTACGCATAAATTCGATAAAAACCTTTCAGGTGTTCTGTCGAAGTCCAAACGGAGCAGTATTCAATGAAAACAGAAGCCTTGCCCAGTCCTGACGCTGAATTAAACAGGTACAGTTTGCTTTCAGTCCTTCTTACATCTGTTCTTTCTTTTTTTCTTTAGTTCATGGTGACACCCTGGAGCAGTTTTTTTCGCACTATTATTCGGCTTTTCGGATTCTACTTGCAGTGATTTGCTCAGCTGCATCCTTGCCTTGAATTGTTCTACCGAAGGTTCTTGAAAGTTGCAACGCCTAG